TTTTTTTTTTTTTTTTTTTTTTTTTTTTTTTTTTTTTTTTTTTTTTTTTTTGAATCATCCGATATAAATAAAGAAAAGTGTGGCTAAAATTTCAAAGACAAGGATTAAATTAAATCTTTTTGTTGCTAAAAATATTAAAATGTAAATTATAAAAATATTATTTATAACTTAAATTTAGACATTATTATTATTATCTAAAACTAAAACTTCTGGGATTTGATGTGCATTTGGTTATTCTGTTGTATGCATATATGAAATTAGATTGATTATTTGAAGAAGATGGATGGGATGGAAACATAAGAACTATTATATTTTAATACGTAACATATCGATAATGATGCTTTACTCGATTTATGATAAAGAAAACCTAAATACTAATTAAAAAAAAAAAAATCATTTGAGAAAAGAAACACAAATTAATCAAATAATATTAAAAACGATCTTCAAAGTCAATTATTTTGAAAAAATTGCTTTTAGCTTTTCTAAAAAGATCTTTAAAATATAAGAAATAGTTTTTTCCAATATAATAAGTAACTTAAAAGAAGTTAAAATTTAAAAACCTACAATAAATATATATATATATATATATATATATATATATATAATATTTTTAAACTGTAAAAGTTTTTAGCTCAGATTTTTTTCACATATCAAACAAAATTCAATTTCATTTCAATTTTGCTAAAAATAAATAAATAAATAAATAAAATAGAACGGATAGAGGACTCAAGAATAGAGAAATGCAGTCTCGGCAAGGCATATTTGCCCTTACGCACGACGAGCGAACCAAAAGCATTTTTTTCATCATCGTCCTCCACTTCTTACTCTATAAATTTTTCAAAAATAAAAATAAAAGAAAAGAAGAAAGAAAAAGAAGTATTCATAGGACGCCTTCTCATCAAATATGGAGAGCCAAGATGGTTGAGAATGGCTTGAGGCCAATGGAAGAAGCTCTTTGGCTTTTAAATCTGAGAAAATTAATATTTTATTTATTTATTTATTAAAAAAAACTATATTTTGCTATATTGATTGGGTAGATGAGGGATTTGTTTTTTCTTCAACGTGCTCGCCAAGGCAAATTATTTAATCGGGTAAAATAAAATAAAATAAAATAAAATAAAATAAAGTCATTTAACCACTGCTTCGGCTGTCGTGCTCTTTAAGCAAAATAAATATATAAATAATGCTATTTTTAATTTTTTAAATAAAAAAGAAAATATGGAATCTTTCGGTGGAAATAAAATCAAATAGAAGCAAGAGACTCAATAGGAATATTTGTTTTTTTATTTTAAGTTTTGTATTTTTTAATACATGCTTTAATTTAAATTTCTATATTTAATATTTAATCAAATGTCATACTTTAGAAAAGTTGATTATATTTCACTCTAAAAGCCATTCAATTGATAAGCCATAAAATAAAATAATTATATAAATTAAAATGTTAGAAATTAGTGATGTCATTGAAGACGATAACTAGTTTAAGTGTGAGAGAGCGTCCCAAACTATTTAGAGAAGAAAATAGGTTGTGACCCACATGTGTAGATAGACAAGGAGACGGCAAGTGAATGATACCCATTTGACCATATAAGGGTCAAAACAGACAATTGTCATGTTAAATTTAAGGAGGACGGTACATCATCTAACATATAAAAAAGAGTGTACATTATACTCATACTGAGGCATAAGAAATATTAGAGGCGACAGACTGTAGTGAGTCAAAAACAAATTTAAAGATTATTGAGTAAAGTCTCGAGCCATAACCCAAAAACTTGGGATTCTGTTGTGAGTCATGCTCGATTAGCAAATGAAAACGACGAAAGTTTCTCTTAAAACTTATTATGATCCTGTCAAGATCTTGATCCCGCTCAACCATGACACAAACAAAAGTGGTATAAATCAATAAATCAAATATAAATCCACCTCAAATTTTATAACCATTGGGTTAAATTCTTAATTCACATGAATTTGGTTAAATAACTCAGATAATAAATTAGGTGTTATTAATTAAAATTATTAAAAAAAAAAAAAAAAAAAAAAACTGGACCTTTCCGAGGATGGAATTTGCGCGCATCAAGCAATGCCTTTGTTTGTTGCAGTTCCTTCCCATTATGGGCCTCAGAAATCCAGCTGTATAAACAGAACCCAAATGTGAATTGGGCAAAGCTTTATTTATTTATTTATTTATTATTATTATTATTCCTTTTCAAATTACTTTTTCAAAAGATTGTAGAATTTATTTGATTTTTTTTTTATTTAATTGAATAATATTTATTTACAAATTTTCAATTTTTGCATGAATGTTTTTTTTTTGTGGAAAGAAAAAAAAATAATTTAAATATATAAAAAATAATTGCAAATCAATTACGTGAATAATTTAATCGATGAAATATAGTAAACTTTTATATTTTAAAACTTAAATTTGTTTGATACTATTTTATAAACTGATTTTGAATTCAAATTTTTTTATTTATTTCAAAATTTCAATTTTAAAATTGGAAGCGTAATTTGTTTTTATTATTAACTAATTTATTTAATCTTCGCTGACAAATATCTCATCACGTTTTTCAAAAAGCGAAAATATATTTATTACAAATTTACAATTTCAGTTATTTGTTGACGTATGCATTTACACGTTTGTGATGTAAGAATTTATTTAATGAATCCTCTCACTTCAAAGGCTGAAAACAGAATTTTCAGCGATAATAATAAATACTTGAGAAATATAATTTAATTTATATTTGAATAAATATTTTTATTTTTACTTTTTAGTTAATTTAAATTTGAATAAACTTTTTTTTGGGATTTATGAAAGATGGTTGAAATTATCAATAATTTTGTGTAAATTTTAATAATTTTTAATATCATAAAAACGGTAAAAAATGTAGCTTTCCTAAAATATTTAGGGGTAGAAATAGAATTTGAGAAATTTCCGCCACATAGTCAATAAATTTCAGATGGGTTGAATTGGCGACTGGAATAATTTGAACCGAGTTCACAACTCAACAACTCTATTTTATGGCTGGGTTGTTATCGGGTTCAATCCGTGAATCGACTCGAATTTTTTCAGTAGTTCAAAATATCGATTCAATCCAAATCGAAAAAAAAAAAAAAAAAATCTAATACAACTCTACCTTTATAGTTTTAGTTGAATAGTTCGAGTTAGTCAGATTTTGTTGATCGCTTGAACATTCACAAGAGACCAAAAAAAATAATAAAATAAAAGCAAAATTGTTTTATTAATTTGGTACTAAATACAAACCCACATTAAATTGTTGATATAAGTTGATAAAAATGTAATTTAATTTAGTTCTTCTTTTTCTAGAAAAGCAGGCGCTCCCGTTACCGTGCACGGCGGTGTTGATTGTAGCACAGTGGTGAGGAGTGCAGTACAGCTCGTTTTCCAACCACGACAATACGCCTCCCTAATCGCCTTATCCTTTTTGGCTCTTCCTTGCGTTCCAAGAATCTTCCATTTTCCCATGCGCTTCCCTCTTCATTCCTCCTTTTCTCCCAACCCAAAGAAACTCAAATTTTTATGAGCCTAATTTAATAAATAAAAATTAATTAATTTGAACATTTTCTTAAATAGATTAATTACAAAGTTTTAGGGATGTTTTTATGGATTTAATCATTACTACAGGAACTAGAGGTGGGGAAATGGACACGTTTTTTTTTCCAGAATATCTCTCTCCCTCGCTAGTGTCATTTCATTTCCTAACGCTTTATTCTTGTTCCTATCATCAGTTTTCCCCCAAAACGATACCCAGCAATTTATTTATTTTTTAAATAAATATATCACTGTTCGAAGTGAATTTGATTAAGTTACAATTATTTGCCTTAATGGCCATTTGTTTATGTTTCTTTTGATCAATTTTCCAACATCACTTTTCTTGAATTGATTTTATATTGATCAGATGGAGGATTTTTATATATTTTTTTAAAAATGATCGGTTCTTAAAGCTCTGCTTCGTACTGTACTGATTAATTTTTTATTATCAGAGTGGAGGAGATTTCAATGGCGAGTTGAGAATGTGATTTCAATCTCAAACAAGAGGGGAGGAGATTTAACAACTCTATATCGGATTATGATTTTCACTGTAATTTACAAATTTCTCGAACGAAGGAGCCGAAAAACAGAGCTAGAATCGAGCCCTAGAAAATTGGCGGCAAAATTTCTCGATCGAGACAGTGAAATCAATTCAGTTCAATTTATTTAGAACTTACTCGTTTTGTTCATCGACGAATACCTGAACGGCTGTATTTGCTTCTCGATCGCAATCTTTGTTCGATTTCTCCGAATTTTCCGCCGTCTCTTTCTCTTCAGATTTACTGTTAGCGGCGGCTTCAACTTCAGAGGACGAAACTTTAACGCACACAGGCGTTGCTAGGAACGTCGGGTTCTGATGTCCGGCCATTATAACCAGAACTTTCTCGTCGTAGTTAACCTTCTCCAGTGACGTCTCCGAGTCGATTTTGGCATCGTTGCCACCGCCGGACTCCAAATCGCCGCTGTCTCTGTCCTGCCGGGAGAGGTTCCAGTAAGAACATGCCAAAATGACAAGCGCAAAGGCGATCAGGCTCAGCATCGCTGCAAGGCCGCCGAATAAATACGGCAACGGCGAGTGCCACTGCACTCGCTCCGCAATGTTCTCACCAGGCGACGGCAAAGAGAATTGAGCGGACGACGGAGAGATGCTTTCCATTGTACTGAATTTCTCTTCTGCTCTGTAACTTCTTCGTCAAGCTCTGTTCTGAATTCGATCGGCCAAGAAATAACAAAAATCGAAAGAAAAAACGAAATTTGTAGGTCATGGAGAGGAAAGAGCGTGAAGATTGTATTTATAGGAGGAAAAAGACGAGATGGATAGGGATGAAGGAATAAGGCGCTTTTTTTCGCCTCATTTCTTTCTCATGCGTTGCCTTTTCTTATGGGTCACGTTTGTCACTCTTTTTACGATGTAAATATTCAAATTATAGCCTATTGGTCCTAATATTATTTACACTATCATTTTCTTTATATATTTTCAATAATATCATCCTTTTTCTTTTTTGAAATCTAGCCCATAGTTTTTAAAATTAATGTTTTGAAAAAAAAAATCTTTAACAAGCTACTATAATATAACTGTCTCTTTGGCATGTATATAATAAATAAATAAAAATATACTCATCTTTTAATAATAATTAACTATTATAGCTTTTTCACACAATATATTCATATTTTTATTAATTTAATTTAATTTTTTTATAATTCACCCGCCACAATTTCACTTTTTGAAATGGCAATACGTGACGCTATGTTGGTGGGCCCAAGGTGGGCCCAGGAGAATGGGGATCGAAATTTCGCTGTGGGCCCATTTTGTTGACCTAAATGTTCATGTAATTTACATTTCATTTTAGCTTTGACAATGAAGTATTATATTATTATTATTATTATTGTTTAATATGAGAATATTTTGCATCAAGTTCGGGGAACAATGATTTCCCTCCAAGTTGCATTAACCGAAAAAAAAGATACAATAATTATAAAAAAATTAAAATAAAGGTAAAGTACATAAATTTGACATTTTTTTTTTTAATTTATGTTTATTTTTGTATAATTTCTTTGCATTTCTTTTTAAAAAAAAGCGAAAATTAAGTTGAAATTTACAACTAAAATAATTCTTTAGTTTAATTATGCTGACAAAATCGAAATATTCAAAATAAGAAAATTCTTTAATTTCCATAGTACATTTTAAGAACAAGGGAATATGCATCTAAGCGTAGAAATTATACAAAAAAAAGTTTATTTATTTATTATTATTATTAAAATAAAAATATTTGTACTTTTATATTTAATTTAATTTAAGTATGTTTTTATTCGGATAAGGTCTATAAATATATTAAGTAATGATGGGGATAGACCTATCAAAATCAAGAAGGAATCGAGGTGGGTCATATGCATCGACCGGGTCGGGTCGGGTCGTATTGGAATTCACCTGAAAACTACAATATGGTGGCGATTAGTCGGATCCAGCTGTTTTGCATTTGGTTTTGAGAATTTACTCAATTACCCTTTTTTTTCCTCCATTTTGTAACAAATATAATTTTAAAATTTCTTCAACCTTAAATATAAAATTTGTGAAACACTAATTTATTTATTTTTAAAAAAATATTCTTAGCAATAATTATTTTCAAACTGATAACAGTGGAGAGTATTTTCCATTTAATTTTAAATATAACCAAATCTAAAGAAACAAAAAGAGAAGATCTACGGGGCATTTTCGACACCTTAATTTTATTAAATGATATTGGAATATAAAAATATAATATAGTGAATGGATATGAAAAATATCCGTTTATGCTGGGAAGCAGCTTAGAAAAAATAGATAAATATTATATATTTGTTTTTTTTTTAATAAAATTAAAAAAAAAAAAAAAAAAATGGAATTCTGGCCCTTCTAATATTTTTTTAAAAGGGCTCAATTGTTGGGTGAAGAGGCAAACAGCCATCGTGTGGGCCCAGAATCAAAATATATTTAATATCTTTTTTGCAATTAAAATATTTTTGAGCTGTATTTTTTTTATATTGTAAATATGCCAAAATCGTAAATTTTAATAATTTAATTTACCATCAACGATAAAAATATATTTTAAAAAGCTTTGTGCCCCATTAATGGCTAATATTGTGCACTAATTAATGTATCAAAGAATATCTAATTAAATAATATAAAGTGTTTACCTTTTCAAGTACATATTTGTTATCACATGATGACATTTAATAAGTATGTTATATTGATCTAAATCTTGTTGATAATCTCACTTAGATTGATACAATAGTAAATAGATATTTATATGTTTTACAGATTTGTTCACTTAATATTTTGTTGTGCACAAATAGGTTATCAAAACTAAACCCAGTGGACATTGATGCCTTTTCCTTAATTACCCCCTAAATTTCCATTTATCAAATATGAGGAACGGTTGTCGGGTCAAAAAAAGATGGATGTCCTATTGTCGCATTATCCATAATTAAAAAGTGTAACGGCCCACGTTGGCCCTCGTTCCTTTGGAACCCCATCAAATCCACCCCCAACTCCCTTCCTCGAGAAGGCTAGCACATCGTTCGGTGTCTGGTTCTGATACCATTTATAACGGTTCAAGTCCACCGCTAGCAGATATTGTCCTCTTTGGATTTTTATTTTCGGGCTTTCTCTCAAAGTCTTTAAAACGCGTTTGCCAGGGAAAAATTTCCACACACTTATAAAATGATGTTTTGTTCACCTCACAACAAATGTGGACATCACAAAAAGCATTTATGACCAAGAACGGAGACGAAGAATAAAAATATAATCTTTATCCCTGATTCTACCGATTAAATGAACATTTCTAAGATACAGGTATTTCTATTATACCCATAGTTTAAAAATAATAATAAATTATTAAATCTATATTGGTTCGGCAAATAATACAATTTACCTGCTAAAAAATTGTTAATATTGACTATTGAATTAGTGAAATATTAAAATATATAATAGATATATAACCATGAAATTGCCACAAATGACCGTAAATTATAGTTTAATAGGGATATAAATAAATAATATAAAATGATACATTTGTAACGAGACAACCTTGTATTATAATTTTGAGAACATCTAATTTCAACCCAAGAGCACTAAGCTACATAATAGAATTGCAGCATTTTCAGAAGAGAATAATATCATATCTAATCCACAATGTTCTTAAATATTATATATAAATAAATATAATCAACAATGGATTATTGGGATGACGTTACGCTGCACTATGTATTTATATATTTTATTTAATTACATATAATTTTAATGGATGGATTCCACACATCTCCCCTGCAATGGAAGCATCGTTTATCATAATTAATTTTTAATTTATTTTTTATTTGTGCTTAAATTTTTTAAACTACACTTTCAAATTTCAAAATTAAAATGATTATTATTATTTATTTAAATTTCTAATTTTAAATATCTTTATTCTCAATAATTACTGAAGCTCGAGCTCTTCTCAACTGGCAGGCCCAACTTTCATTTCAAACCGATAAATTGGGCCCAAGCCCATAACTAATCGGGTCGGTTTCCTTACACGGGGTGCTTTTATTATTATTATTATTATCAATATTTATAAAATATAAAACATAATGTGTATTATCTTCTTAAATATTAATAAAAAATTTAAATTAAATAGAATTAGTTTAAAGTGAAAAAGGCTTATTTTTCATTTATAAAAATAATGGTTGATATTTTTATCCAATGAGATCCTAAATTTTAATTTATAATTTTTTTTTTTGAAAACTAAAATTTTAGCCATTAAATATTTTATTTTTGAGTTTAAATAAATAGATATAAATTTAAAATTGTGGACTAAATTGCAATTTAATTGTTTTTCTTTTTGCCAAATCATCCATAAAAAATTGTCGTCTTTATCCTGGTGTTACTATAAAAACGCGGGTCTCAAACATTGTTGAGTTTGTTTAGATCCAAACAGAGACGAGAGAGAAAAAAGAGAACGCGATCCGCTTCGGACTTCCCTTTTTCGCGCCTTTTCTCGCGCCCTAATCTGCACTCTCATTTGCGATTTTTCTTCCTGATGATTTGATGGAACTGGAAGATCATTTGACGATAAACGGATCATAGACAGCGCGCGGACCTTCGATCTTAGGTATTTTTCTTCATTCGGAATCGTTTACCTCGTTTCATTTTCGCTTGGCGACAGATTAATCGCTGTTCGTATGCTTTTTATTTTATCAGTGCTCTGCATTTTACATACAAAATCGTAGAATATATCTGTTGATCGGCGACAGATTAATCGCGTATCATAGTCTTTTCAGTTTTTCAGTAGTTATCTGCAGTACATATATAATATCGTAGAATATATGTGTTTGCTTTCGTCATCTTCCGAGAGGCGATCGTAAAATGTTGAGTGTGCATCTAATTTCCTGTCTAATTATGGCGTTTCGCGTCCGTGTTTGGATTTTTTCAGGATCAGGATCAGGCTCGTAGCTTTTGCTGTGTGATAGGTTCTCGACAGAAATTTCAATGGCGGTATTCTTAGCGTGTTCGAATTTCTATATGTTTTCGATACAATGAAATGCGGTCTGGTGCTCGTACCTGCTAATATTTTACGTATCGCGCGTTCTAATGGTAAGTCAGCTTTTATATTAGAACCGGATGAAGAAGAAAACAATCATCTAATCTAACTTTTTTGATAATTAAATAAGATCTCTATTAAAGGATTTCTCGCGACTGACTCTGATAGCTGATTCAAGACGATGATTATTTCATAATTGGCGTCGTTCTCCGCTGATAAACGAGTTATGCTTACCGTTTAGTTTCCAGATTAAGCGATACATTGCATGCCGAGGTGGTTTTCCCGTACAGTTTGAAGAACTTGTCTATTTTCATTGATAGGATGCTATTTCTGTTAAGGTGAATTGAAACTCAACTAAAAGATCTAGTCTAAAAAATTCTTAAGGAATTCGGCGTAATTTTTTTTCCGCTCCATCTTTTTGTTCTCGATAGTGAACTGTGCCGAGACATTTCATGAGTTTTCAAGCTGAACCAAAATTCCTTATCACTGCCTTGACTTGTTTTCCTTGAACGCATATAAGATATATCTTCTGCAAGTTATGATTATTTGCACTTGCTATGGCTTTTTAATTGAATTGCAATATTCAAGACCATGGTTCCTTATTCTGCAGATGCTACTCTGGTTCAAATTATAATCTTCCAACCGAAAACTGATTAGCTTTGATTTCGAACTTTGTGTAAGAAATAGTGTCGAAGGAAAGTAAAGGTTATCTACTAGCACACCTTGAGCTGAATGTGTCCTTTCCACAGACAATTGAATTTGAGGTATAGACGTTTTTGTTTTCAGTAAAAAATAGTTCAGATGTAGTTTGTGTGCTTGTTTCGGTCTTACTGTTCTACTGTCATGAAAATACTGGAGTTTGGCTGCCCATTTTTTGCAAGATATTTCTGATGTACTGCCTTACCATTTTTATGATTAAGAAATGCTGCTATCTTAATACAATCCCTATGCTTATCAGATGTCTCCTGTTTCAGAAAGGTAACGAAGCATGTTTTAGATGTAAAATGACCGTTTACTAACATCCAATACGCGATGTCTGTTCATTGAATTGCCATTTCCACACATGGATCAATTGAGTTTCTACTTCTGTCATTTATTTGATTTTCAATTGTTCTGCGACTCCTTGTAGTTAATCATGTCTGTAGTTATATTGTATCCATTATGTATCTAATTCTATCATACCTGGTTGTAAACTAACAATGCAAGGAAGCTATACTTTTAGGCAATGTGGTTAATCTCTGTTGGGAGTCTACTCGTCCAAACGGATGTTGAAGCCTTGGCCTACAGGTTTTCTTACTCTCCTTGTATGTTTTTGCCGTCTTTATTGATCCCGCTATTACAATTTATGCTCTATGCTCTGTCATCTTCTAGGAAGATAGCTAAATTTTCTATTTGATTAGGTCCAAGGTCTGATGGCGGGTCATTATTATGAGTTCCTTTGTTTGTTGTCCAGTTTCTTCAATATCTTGAAAAAACCTAACCAAGTTTTGAAATCTACCAAAATTGATTCTTATAAACTTGTTTTATTTTTGGAAGTTCAATAAGAATTCAATCTTTTTCGGAAAAAAGTGAAAACCATAATATAGGAATTGTAGAAATACACATGAATTTCAAAAATTGAAAACAATAAAGTTTTTTTTTTTTTTTTTTTTTTTTTCCCTACCATTCGAAACACGCATTTTATAATTTTTTTTTTTTGGTTTGTAAAAATCATTTACACAAATTTTAAGCGTTTACTTTTTCCCCTTTCTTGTTCTCATTATGATTTTGTTAAAAATAATATCTTCTAGATTATTTATGACTTGCAATTCCTTTTATTTTACTTTTTTTTTCTTTCTTAAACTGTTTCTCAGGAGGTTGAACTTTGATTTTTTAAATATATATTTAAATTTTTATAGAATATAATAATAGTCAAACTTCTTTATTTTTTTCCTTTTTGAATTATAAAGAAACTAAAGACAAGATTATTTGAATTTAACGTCACTTGATTGTTTATGAGGTCTGCGTAATTTATTGAAATTTTAAAAAAATGTTGGGTCAATGATTTGTATGAACATGCTTTCAATATTTATATGTTTCTGTTTAAATATCTTATGTATTAGTTTTTTTTTTAAACAATCGTGCTCCTTCATGGACCTTTTTTGGTTTTTAAATATCAGAAGTACATCGAACTGTTTTTTTCCTCCCCACAATTTATAATAGTTGTACATATAATATAATATATATATATATATATATATATATATATATATATATATATATATATATATATTTTTTTTTTTTTTTTATTATTATTTTAAAAAATGTTTTAGTTCTTCTTTAGTTGAGAAGTAATGAAAACGACATTGCTATTGAAATTTAGATCCTAAGACAAGTCCATGGAGTTGTAGCTAGAACACCCACCCAAAATTAGGGGAACAAAAAGGCTTTTATGATATTAATTTGGATTTATAGAATTTATTACTTGTTAGCGAAAAAGTGTAATTATAGACAAGCCTTATGTTTTGTTAGAATAAGAAGAAAACTGTCCCAAAACTAAGTAGAGATTTGTTAATTCTCACGAAAGCAAAGTGTGAAAACTTTATCACAAATTTTCTCTGGGAAAGAACGACAGCTTTCTTCTGTACAATTTACAATTTGAGCGGGTGGCTAGGGGTAAGAGGATATGTTACACTGATTACATTACTTGACCCAAAAAAAAGTGGGAAAAGGAAGAAAGATACAAAACTTTCCTAATGAACTGAATTTACCTCAACTTTCTCGAACAAAGCATACATTTACAAGGGGCGTTGTGGTAAATATTGCTCAAGACAATGTTGTGAAAGCATGTAAATAAAAGGACGTGCTTTCAATGATTTGTATGGACAAAGACAATGTTGAAGCCGGAAGAGTCGCCACATTAGGCGAAGGAGCCAATTTTGGCGAGAAGGGCAGTCGGAAGAGTCGCCTCATCGGGCGAAGAAGCCAATTTTGGCAGGAAGGGCGGCGGCAACTTGGTTGGCGAATAGGCCAGTGCGGCACCCAGATTCCGAAGGTAAATCTCTGCAAAAGGTTGATAGGTTTAGGTTAGAGTTTATGTGAAGGATGAAGGTTGATTGGGAAGAAAATGAGAGAGACTATATTGGCCAAGGGGAAAACCGATTGGGTTGGAAAAGGTAAGGTTGTATGTACAGAGTATGACGAAAGGTGATTTGGAGGTCAATAGGGTGGAGCCGAAGAGTAATCAATCGACTCCGACTACGGCAGCCATGAAGACTGCCCCTGTGGCGTCAAAACCAGCAGGGGTGGTGGAGAAGAAGATTAGAGAATTCAAAAGCCATTGAAAAGAAAGGATCGGAGTTGTTAAACCGAGAGGGCTCTGATACCATGTGAATGTTTGATTAATCCACCACACCTAAATGGTGTGAAAGTTATCTTATTTATAATCAAATGAATTACAAGGATATGGAAATAGTAATAAATGAAAATAACAATAAATGGAAAGATACCTATGATAATAAGGCAAATATTAGATATTTGCCTTATAATAAAATATCAAATATAATATATATGGTAAACTATAATTTATTACTAAATATCCTTAACACTTCTGTACAATTTACAATTTGAGCGGGTGGCTAGGGGTAAGAGGATATGTTACACTGATTACATTACTTGACCCAAAAAAAAGTGGGAAAAGGAAGAAAGATACAAAACTTTCCTAATGAACTGAATTTACCTCAACTTTCTCGAACAAAGCATACATTTACAAGGGGCGTTGTGGTAAATATTGCTCAAGACATTCTTTCAACTTTTGGAATGTGATTGGCTTTGATACGAACGAGTCCATACCGTTTTCATAACACTCATCCGCGCTTTCTGACAATGTATTCGCCGTCATCTGCAAGTATACCACCCACCATTCAATTCTTTCGGTAAATGCACAATTTACTGTCTAAATGTGTTCTTAATATTTTTGTTCATGGAACCTATGCTTATTTATTGACGTATTTTTTCAATTATTGATTTTCTAAAAAACAGTTAGCTTTTACAGAAATCAGGTGAAGTAAATTTGTTTATTTTTTTTCCTTACAAAGTTTGTTTAAGATTTGAAGTGTTTGAAAAAAGTGGTAAACTAAAGAAGAAAATATAAATATATGTAGTTTTTGAAAAGATTAAAGCTTTTACTTGGGTAAAATTTTATGATTCTCTATTCACCAATGTTATTATAATCAAGATTAAAATAATAAGTATATTCTATATAAATATATGTAGTTTCTAAAAAGATTAAAGCTTTGATTTGGGTAAAATTTCTTTAAAAGTTTGTATATAAGTAAAAATCCTTTTAGTAATTATCATCTTTTAATCTTTTTATTTTTATTTTTCTAAAGAAGATGATAAAAGGGAATGAGCCATTTTTTAAAAATAGGAAGTGAGAATACTCACAGCAATGATGGGCATTCTTTTACGGGATGAGGGAGTCCAAGAAGGAGTAGTTGGCTCGATTCCAGCATTTACAGCCGCCTCCCAGCTGCCTGTTTCCTCAAAAGAACGAATTAACCTTGTAGCTTGAAGGCCATCCATAACTGGCATGAACACATCCTGCAATAATCAAAACCTCGTCCTTTTAAATTTAATATATATATGTTTCTAGCATTAAATTTTAGAATTTACAAAAAATAACTCAAATTAGTTAAAATATAGTCAGAATTTTCTGAAGTCAAGATGTAATGTTATAAATTGCAGAAGAAAACATACCATGAGAATGAGATCGTAAGAACGTCGTTGAACTGCACGAACACCTTCAATTCCATTGGTTACAACGTCGATTTTTTGGCCAAACTTCTTCATCATGGATTGAGCCACCATAATATTGGTCTTATTATCCTCAACAAGAAGAATTTTGGCTTCCAATGCCATTGTTACTTCAGAACCACTACTGGTAGTTCTACAGTGGGAACTTGCATTGGACCTCTCTTTACCCTGATCTGTTTTTTGGAGTTTACTACTTGGCTTTTCCAATGTATCTTCTTGCTTTGTTTCCAACCGTTGAATGGAATTCACGTTCGCATTTTGGAACCGAGCATTTGCGTCAGGTTGGTTTGTTGATCTCTCCTTACCAAGATTTGAATTGATCTGACTTAATGAATACTGTGATTCGTTTGAGGTTAATGTGGCATTGCCAGAACGGGCATCTCTAAGAGCAGTCTCTTGTGGTTGTGGAGTGATGTTGTTTGAAGGTATATGATAAGAACCACCATCGGTCGAGCTGGGATATCGAACTGAGTTTGGGATCATCCTTGTGGATCCATTAGAAGATGATAGCGAACTGAAACTGTGGGGTTGGAATTGGAAAAAACCCTCAGTCATTTCTTCATCTGTGGACTCTTCATCTGAGAGCTCATCGGAATCGTCGGAAGTGCTGCTGTTGCTGCTGCTGGTTGAAACCTTGTATGGCAATACAAATGTAAATGTTGATCCATGGTTCTCTCGGCTGGAAACGGTGAGATGACCACCCATCAATTCAACCTGCTCCAAAAGCAAGTGATGAAGTTTGAAGTTATTGAAAGTTGGGAACTTTTAGAGCAGAAAAAAGTGCTTTTAGTCAAATTAATAGCATGATTTTTTGAAGCAATTAATTAGTGTCTCTTCCTAAAATGTTTCGAAACACAATTTTTAAGAATTATCCCAACCTCACTGTTCGTCTAGCGAGAATCTAAGCAAAATGGTACAAACACAGGAAAGAATCATCTTTCAAGATACTACCTCAATATTGAAAGCAAAATTTAACATGAACAGCTTACCAGTTGTTTGCATATTGCTAGTCCAAGTCCAGTCCCTCCATACTTCCGAGCATGATCGGCACTAGCTTGCATGTACCTCTTAAAAAGGCTTGGTAATGCATTTTCTGGTTCATTTCAAACGAAATCAAGAGAATATTATTACCTAAAATTGAGCAACAAGAGTATATTCCAATAATCAGATAAATAGCCAAGCATACCTGGTATTCCAATTCCCGTGTCATATACATCACAACGTATCCATACCGTCGTTTCTGGAGAACAAGATTTGCTTTCTCTATTTCCATTCATTATGGTTTCACTCTTGTTTGGGGTTCCTGGTGCATCACAATGCAAATGATTTCTGTCACCGTGTTTTTGGCCACGCAAGCCATTCTGAGGGGCTGGAAGACATGTTCCTCCTTGCAAACCATGTACCGAAACTGTTGAGTTATCA